GATCGAGTCCAAGATCGATCGCCGCTCTGGCAAGGAGCTTGAGAAGAACCCCAAGTCGATCAAGTCCGGTGACGCTGCCCTCGTGCGCATGGTGCCGCAGAAGCCCATGTGCGTGGAGGTGTTCAATGACTACGCGCCCCTCGGCCGCTTCGCCGTGCGTGACATGCGCCAGACAGTTGCTGTCGGCATCATCAAGGCGGTGACGAAGAAGGAGGGCGGCACCGGCAAGGTGACCAAGGCCGCTGCAAAGGCCTCCAAGAAGTAAGTCGAGGGCAAAGGTTGTGCGCAGATCTTGTTTTATAATTTTATTTATTTATTTTATTCTAATGATATTGCGGCGCTGTACGGTTATGATATTTCTGCTAGTTTGGTTTGGCTGCGCCCCTCCCTCTCTCTTTTCCCCTCCCTGTGTGTGTGTGTGTGTGTGTCGTCTCTTTTTTTTTTTGTTGGCGGCGCCAGCTTTGTCATTTTCTTTTTTTTGTTTCCGCGCTTTCGTGCTTGGCAGTTTTTAGTAGTGCGCAGGTAGCACTGTCGGTGGGTGGGTCGTGTGGTGTGGGTGTGTTGTGTGCTCCGGCGACAGGGATGGATCGCGGAGGAGGAATTTATGTGGATGAGCTGCGGCGCAGACAACGGCGGCGGCGCCTCGCTTCAAAGCCGCTGGAGACTCGGCGGCGTCGACTGCAGTACTGCCGACGGCACAATGAGAAGGACGGGCGGCTGCTGTATTGTGACTACTGTGACCTCTTCGTGTGCAGCGGGCAGCGGACATGGCTGCAGCACCTTGGTGGGGTGCGGCACATGGAGGCTGTGGAGGCGTACTACTCCTTGCTGGAGGCCCGCGATCCTGCGTGGGTGAATGCTGTCCGCGAGGATGTGTCGCGGGCCCACGTGGAGGAACACGTACGGCAGCACCAGCTCGTAGCGGGGAAGGGGGCATCGGTGCCAATGCCTGCCATGACGCTTGGTTATGTAGGTCAGCAAGGCATCGTTGTTGGGGGAACGCAACCACCTGGCGTTACGCACGCCAGAGTGGACAAGAGCGACAGCGACAGTCGCGGCAGAAGTAGTGCGCAGCGTGGATCCCCATCTGTGCGAGTGGGTGGGCTTCTCGTAGCGGCTGCCACGCCCCCAGTGGTGAAGGTTGACGGCAAGGCTATGCCGCTCCCGCAGGGCTGCAATCAGACGATGCACCGACCTTGATGAATTTCTTCTTTTTTGCCACTACCTGTGGATGAATCGCTTAACAGAAGGTTGTGATCATTGTTGCATCTGAGTGTGTGTAGAACCAGTCGTATTTGCTTCTCCTGCAATACACATGTCTGCGGGGCTGCCGATGCCGCCATCACTTCTTCACCTCATTACTCCCTCACTATCTGTTTGTCTAGGGGAATAACAGTCAGTAGTGCTGATTGTAGTGCTTTGAGTGCATTGCATATATTGTTGAGTAGCAAAAGAGGTCTCAACAAGGGGCGTTTGTGCAGGGTAATGAATGCGGGAAACACGGATCGCCGACGGCGCATCCGTGAGCAGCTGCGTGAGTTCTACGGTGACCCCACAGCAAGCCGGGAGCGGCACTCAATGGAATGCGGCAAGGCAGGGACGTCGCCGGAGATGGACGTGGACTCAGAGTTCTTCAACGTCAACAAGTACGTCACCGATCTCCTGCGTCGGGAGAGTCTCAAGGAACTCGTAGAGACGGACACACAGCTGCTCCGCACCGTCCGCCACCTTGACGGGGAGCTGCAGGAGCTGGTGTACCAGAACTATGCCAAGTTTATCTCCGCAACCGACACCATTCGTGAGATGCGAGAAAACATCACGGAGATGGACGCCAAGCTGCAGGCTCTCTCCAGCAATGTTGAGAACATTGATGCGGTGTCGAAGAGCGTTACGGACAAGCTGCAGTTGCACCGGAGTCGGATTGAGGATATGATTTTAACCAACCGCATGCTGCGGAAAGTGCAGTTTCTTGTGGAGCTTGCGGACAGGATGCGTCGACTTATTGAGCGGCAGGAGTACATGGCGTGCGTGAGGTACTGGGTCGTCGGTGACAGTTTCTTCGCAAAGCACACACATTTATCGAGTATTACGAAGATTCATAGCGAGTGCAGGGTTTTGGCGGGGCAGCTGTATAGTAAGCTGCAGGAAACCGTCGTCACCACTTCCCTGGATGATCCGGAGGCGATGGATGTTATCCGTTGCGTTGTGGAGGACATGCGTCTTATGCGGGCCACCTCACTCTTCGCAGGTGCGGCGGCGGAGGAGGGAACGGCAACAACAGGTACCACAGGCGACACCTACGCGTCATTTGAGGCGGAGATTCTGGACACGTTGATGAGGAACGTCAGTGGTGGCTTTGCGGCGGGGGTTCAAGGCGTCAATAGTGCCATCCGGGCAGCCCTGGCTGTTCCAAATTTTGCCTCAATGGATCGCGCGCGTTGGACGGACGTCTTAGAGCACGCCCACCTGCAGGAGGCGCTGGCGCAACTGAAGAGCCTCTGCGCCCTCTTCCACTCCAACAGTGAGAGGGTGTACAGTTTGTTTAACCGCGAAAGTGGCCCCACCGTTGCGTTGCGAATTGTCGAGGAGGTGCAGCCGGTCCTCATCGACATCATGGCACCCATTACCACCCACATGAGCGAACTGTTCATCGCCATGGTGAGTGCCTTTTGCTCGGATGGTGCAGGGGTGTTAACGAGGCCAGCCATGGTTGACAGTGGGATCAATGCCATCTTTACCACCTTGGCAAAGCGTCTCAAGTACTACTCTAGCACGCTGAAAACGTTGGGGGTGAACTACCTTGATAATGCGCACAGCCAGCAAAGTAGACAGTACGCGGCGCTCGTGGATCAGTCTGTGCTGGACATCTTTCAACGCCTTTTGGCGGCCTTGCAGTCGAAACTCACAGAGGGGGCAAGCGTCCCCGACACCATTGCGTCTAACAACAATTCAAAGGACTCGGCCTTCACACAACTGTTTCAGTTTTGTATGACGCGCTTTGTGTTTGCCCACGCTGCCACTGCCGCTGATGTGTTTGGTCTCGCATCTCTCATTGGCACCGATACTCTGCAGCATAGCGATGTGGCCGGGGTGCAGCGACGTTGCACGTACGTTGCGCGGGCATTCTCGCATCGTGGTATCCTCCTTCTTGGTCAGCTGCATCTTAACTGGGTTGCCGCGGCATCATTTCCGATGGATGCGGTGGACCCCACATCCGCGGCAGCGCCCAATTTTGGTGTCGCCTACGCACTGTGTGAATTTGTGCAGCAGTTGGGCACTATATACGCCCTCCTGCGGGATGGGGTTCTTGCGGGTGGGGCGGTGAAGGAGCGACGTAGCGTGGACAGTGCAATGGGTGGTGGCACGAGACGGTACACGAATGCAGGCAGTGGCCGAAGCAGTAGCAGGGCTGCCTCGCGAAAGTTGGTGGTGACGTTCGTGCGGGAAACGGATAACGCCCTGCAAAGCACCGTGGACCGCATTTTTTCGAAGCAGTCGCGGAACAACACGGAGCTACGAACGCTTCCACACGAAATTGGGGCTGCCTCCGTGGTGACTGCAGTGACTGTGTACGTTCTAAAGGGCCTGATTGAATACGTGCGGAACAAATCCTTCACACGTAACGGCTTTCAATGTGTGCAAATCAGCTGCACCTTTCTCCTGCATGCGTTGACACCTCCTGCACTGCCAGTTTCACCTGGTGCATCCGGCGCCGAGGGTGGCATGTCCCTCTTGTCCTCGTTGGCGGAGTGGCAGGGTGACTGCAGGGACGACAGAATGCTAAAAATTGTGCCGCAGCTTCTTAACGAGTGCTGCACATCTGCGTACGAGCGTTGTAGAGAAAAGGCCCCACTGACGTCGGTGGTGGTGGATAAACTAGTGAGCTCCGCCCTTGAGAATACGCAGGTGACCTCCCCGCTTTTCTGAGCGAGTCAGGGACGCAGGATGCGGAGGGTCGTGGGGGAGACTTGCGCACTGTGCAGTAGGAAGATTAAAACAAAAAATAAAAACAAAGAAATTATTTGTTTTCTCTTTTTTTCCGTTATGCTTCGGGCGGAGTTCCCTCAACTTTTCTCGTTGTTTCGTTTTCGTCATTTTTTTCCTTTTTTTTTGCTGTTGTTGTTGCTTTTCGCCATTGTGCGTGCACTGATGCGGGGGCGGCGCCTTACAGTTTGTAGGGACGCTCATTTGAGGAGCGCGGCGCGAGAAACTGAGCGGAGAGCGTGCGGGGGGAAGGGAATAAAAAAGGAATTGAGTAGGAAATTTGTGACGGGATGCTCCGTCGCACACGAAGCCGTGCGATCTCGCAGTACAACTTTGGTCAGCCGTCGCTGACGAGGGCCTTCGGCCCCATACCGTGTGAAGGTCAGACAGCAAAGGCAGGGAAGGTCATGTCCACAAAACTTTCAAATGGGGTTCGTGTTGTGTCGCACGACTTGGACGGCGCCCATAGCGTCGTTGGAGTCTACGTTAACGCAGGGCCAAAGTACGACCCGCTCAGCTGCCCAGGACTGAGCCACGTGATGCGCTATGCCATTCAGACATCCAACATGGATAGCTCGCTGTTTCAGGTGGACCGGACGATGCGGTCTACGGGCAACGCCTATGGTCATGGTGAGATCTGTAAGCGTTACGTGCACTGGAAGGCTGAGGGGAGGCGTGACATGTGGGAGCACCCCTTTGCGATGCTCGCTACAGGGGTGGTGGCGCCGCGCTTTCACGAGAGCGACGTGGAGCGTTTCCGCGACACCATGGACAACCAGCGCGAGGAGCTGCGCTGGCAGCACCCACGCGAGTACTGCGTGGACGCTCTTGAAACGGTGGCATTCTTCAGGGAGCCGCTTGCTTCCCCGCGCATGGTGCCACCGGAAGCAAATGACCGCTGCAATCAGAAGGCGCTTGTGGATCACTGGGCAAAGCACTTCCACCCCGGCAACGTCACTCTGGCGGCTGTCAACGTCCCACACAACGCACTACTGGCGGCGTACGCGTCACTGCCGTATCCGCATTCCGCGGAGGCCCCTCACCACGCACGATCTCGTCAGCCAACCTTCTCGCACGCGAGCGAGGCCACACAGTTCTACCCTGGACGTCAGCGTGTGGTGTACGAGGACCGCGCCAAGGCGATGGGCACGGTGCCAGACATGGGCCAGGAGGTCATCGCTGCTCTGGGGGTCCCAACCTTTGGATGCGATGAGGACGTAAAAAAGTACGCAACAGCGCTCGTGGCGCGAGAGGTGTACCAGGCCTCCATTGACCGTGCCATGCCAGCCGCCCTGGCCACGTCGCAAGGGGTGCAGTCATTCTACCGTCCTTATTCGTCCGCGGGCCTCCTCGGCGTTACGATCCGTGGTGCTCCGGAGGAAGTTGAAAATCTATTAGCTGCTGCAAGAGGAAGCTTTCCAACGAAGGTGACAGAAGACGAGGCTGCTGCGGGACGTGCTCGTGCCACGATGGCCTTTACGCGGAATCACCTAGAGATGGTGCGAGACTACTGCGACTTTATTGCGACGTCCAGCGCCACACCACAGCAGCTGTTGGGGGCCATCGGAGCAGTTTCGGCAGGGGACGTGGATGCGGCTTTGGGCGCTGCTGGTGCCGTGGCACCGGCCGTCTTCGTCACTGGCTCCACCTTTGCCTTTCCGAGGGTGTCGAGTCTCAGGAGGGAGAAGTAGCCGCCCTCCTTTGCCTTCACGCCACTCAGTGAATAAGCGGAACGACGGTACCGTTGTTCTTTGGGGTGAGGGGGGGGGTGAGGGGAGTAGGAAGAGAGGATGGGGAAGTAGTAGGCAACGTGGATAGTGGAATAATTGTGGTATACTTCACGGTTGGCAGTGGTTTTTTTTATTTTGTTTTGTTAGCCGAAGCAGGCACGAGCGAGGGAAGGCGAGCGCTGGACAGAACAAACATTGTACACATGCACCCATTGCCTCCAAGGAAGGAGGGGGGGGGGAGAAAGGTGCTGAGGGGGTATTACTAGCAACAGGGAAACAAACGGAGGAGGAGGCGCTACCGGAGCAAAGAGAATGAAATGTTTGAAATGCATCGCATCGCTTAAAGGAAGAAACCTCGTGGCGAGAGGGAAGAAACCAAATACCTTCCGTATGTTATTGGAACAAAAAAAAAGAGGAATAGAGAGAAAGAGTATGAACGTGTTCGCGTGTGTGGGAGAGGGGAGAAGAAGAATCCATTGTGGGTAGTGTAAGTGGCGGCAGCGGCAGCTGTCGGATGCTGAGGCCTTAGTGAGGTGTGAACCAGCTGCCATTATATCTTATTGCTTGAATATTTTTTAGCCCTCTTCAACTTGTATTATTATTGTCACCACCACGGCTACCCTCCAAGGAAGGAAGGAAGTTCGCTGGGAGTAAACCGGGACCCCCATTACACGTTGGCCGCGGACAGGGAGGCAGCCCAGGCTGGCGGAGACGAACAGTGGCCTGGGTTAAAGGGGAGTTGGTTGGTGCACCCTGATATGCGGATGAATAACTCCTGTGAAATGTTTATGTCATGCCTTGTGATGCGGGCTGGCCACAAGTGCCGGTTTGTGTGCTCTCGTCGCCACCTCCATGGTGCTGCGGCGATGGTGCTTGCACGCGGGACGTATTGTAGCCGTCCAAACAAGGAAGAGGGAGGTACTACTGGCCGTGGCGGAAGTTCGGACGACACGGTACATTACCCCGACGCTGTGGCGATAGTACCGGGGGACTCGCTCCTCACATCCGAAGGACTCCGGAACTACAGGGACTGTTACCTCCGGCCGCTCTTGCTGCAGAAGCGGAAGGCGTTACGGCAACTCACGGGCATCAAAACTCAGTGTGAGACGGTAGCGCTTCAGTACGCGGACTACTGCGCGGCAGGGTTTTTTGTGTTGCTGACGGCACAGGCAGTCACACTCTTCTACTGGGTGTACTTCCTTTTTGATTGGAACCTCGTGGAACCAATCACGTACCTGCTTAGCTACAGCGCGGTGTGGCTTGCCATCGCCTGCCACGCAACAACGCAACGGGATTTGACCTACGAATCCTGCACAGAGATGATCACAGCGCACTATCGTTCTGTGCTGTACCGCCGGCACAACTTTGATGTGCAACTGTGGCGGCAGCTGACGGCAGAAGTAGAGCTGCTGGAGGAGCGACTGCGGGGCTTGGAAGGTCTCTGAGTCTGTGATGTGCCTCCTCCCTTTTTTTTTTTCTCACTGTACTGCTGCCGGTGCGGGCGGTTTGCCGATGCCCCTGGTGCGTCCCGTTGGGCCTGGGCTCTAAAGATGTAGGTGATTCCGCATTCAGTTATGGCTTTTATATGCGTTGTTCTCTCTATCCCTCTCCTTTCTTCTTCTTCCTTTTTCTCCAGCAGTGAAGGCAGGCGAGAGCGGGAGGGAGACGGAGTTGGAAAAACAAAAAAAAAGAGGATAATGACGGTGAACACGCATGCGGGCGTGCAGATAACACGCGATGCCACCTTGGACGCGTCCTCCTCCTGTGGGAGGCGCTGTGGTCTTTTATTGGACTCTTTTTCTTCTTGCTTTTTTTTTATCTTTCTTTCTCTCTCGTGTTTGTGGGCACCAGCACCGCCAGTAGGGGAGCCAACAAAGAAAAAAAAGACGCACTGACACTTGGCCGAGGCTTGTAGAATAATAAGAAGAAAGAGTAGCAAGGGGGGCAACAATGAACGTGGAGGAATATTGGCACTTGAAGGCCCGTGAGGCGGTTGAAGAGCACCGTGGTCTGATACAGTCGCAGCGAGACGAGATTGAGCGGCTGCAACGCCGCTGCAACGATCTCCTGCACGAACGAAGTATGATGCGGGCGGCGACGGCGGAGGATGTCCGGCGTTTTTGTTTGGAGTATCAACGAAATCAGCTGCTACAACAAATCGTGGCAGCCTCACCGTCAGGAGCGGGCGCAGCAGGCTCCTTAGCGGGTCGTCAGCCTGCGGCATCGTCGACAGATACCATCCCGCTTCATCTCTTGCTGCAGTTCTTGCATCAGTACAGCGGCGGGATGGTGCCGATGTCGGAGAACATTAAACGGAAGCGGTCACGGGAAACGATGAACGGTGGGTGTGGGCCGAAAACCGTGAGCCAGCAACGTCTAGTTCAACGTGCAGTGGCGCGACGGAGACTACGGCTGCGGGAGGACGACACGATAGAAGAACTGCAGCAGGAGCATGACCAGCCGTACGAGCAGCGTCCATGTGCGGATGCAGCTCGGTAGTATAACAATTCGTCTTTTGTTTTTTTGTTTTTTTTTCTTCCCTTACAAGTGGGAGAGTCTCTTCTCTTTTTTTGTTAGCCATCCTCTTTTCGTGTGTGTGTGTGTTAAAGTGGGGAGGGAGAGAGGAAGTATGCAGGAAGGATACGGACGTACGGGTGACAGATGGTGCGTGGTGCGTGATGGCGTCATTGCATGGCTCTTTCACGCCCGTTCGTATGGTTAAGAGTAAAGTGTGAGCCCCCAACCGCCCCCTTTTTACCCCTCCCTCCTAATCACTGCCCTGGGGGAATGGTGAGAGCGGACACCAAGTGACGGTTCACAATTTCTATCCCACAGCTCTCGTCTCACTCATCGACTACTCGCCGTTGCGGGGTGGTGCCGCTGGCAGAAGCGGTTGCATGCGCCTACATTTCCTTACTTCTTTCTCTCTCTATGTGTGTTTTACAGAGTGCGTGTGCTTACTTCCTTCTTGTTTGGCCGAGGGCAGTGTCACGCGTCGTGTCAAAACAGACGCCCAGGTCTCCCCACCCCTCCCAAAAAGTAAAAGGGTATTTAAAGCCGCATAAAAGAAAAGTGGGATGGCTTCATCGGGTGGCGCATGGGAGGTGGTGGTCGATAAGGCAGCGCTGGAGGTGACAAAGTACCTAGCAGCGACGACCGACCGCTTCCTGCCGGACTCCTGTACCGCGCGGTGGATGCTAACGCTGCTCAACACAAGCTCCCTGCGTGATATTCTCGTGGAGCGAAACTACGGCGGCAACTGCGGTATGATTGGCTGCCCGGGCGGCTGCAAGCCGGAAGGCCGGCGGCACGGCGACGGCGAGTGTGTGCGTCACCCCGCTGAAGGTGCGGACGATTGCAGGGGAGATAAGGACGACGATGAGGACGAGTGGGCAAAGGAGGCGGCAGAGGCGTTTCGGCGGTACGAGCGGTACCGTGAGCAGCGCACGCAGCAGGCGGCGCATGCGAAACCCTTCAAGCTGAGCGCAACGATGGCGCATCGCTTTTGTTCGCCCGCATGTGCGGAGGAGTTTGAGGCGGTGATGCAAAAAGTGTCCTCCTCGCTTGTGTATGGGCGGAGCGAGGTTGTGCAAGCTGTGGGGAGACTATTCCCCAACATGAGCCTCGCTGCGCTGCAGCGTCTTGCGGGGGCGGAGTCCACGTCGGTAGCAGACATTTTTGAGCGATGCGTGGAACAGGAGGGAAGTACCGGGCCACGGCTGCCGTCGCTGCAGGAGGTGTTGCATGGCATTGATGCTGAGGGAAACACGTGGAGCCGGGACATGAGGCAGGCGCAAGTCATAGGGACTGACGGAGGGCGAAAACGTCGGATGCCGCTGCCGTTGATGGTATACGACTGGTGTATGACGATGTCAACCGCAAGAACAAAGGACCTTTTTGCCACATTATGTCGCAAGGGCAACCTGAGCAGTAACGTATGGAAGGACAGTGAGAATAAGGCAAGACGAGATCGCAGTTTGTATGTCAAGTCTATGCAGTCCATCCGCAGCAGGTGCGTGCAGCGTGCAGAGGTGGAGTTGTCGTCGTTGCGCGCGGAGAGGGTGGGTGACGCGGAGCCGCCTTCCGTGGATCCGCAGCTGCAGCTGCAGCGTCTTGCTTTGTTCGCCACACATGTCTTTTCCGCTGAAACGACCGCGACACTCTCGCGTCTCCTTTTGTACGATGAGGCGACGTTGAAGCAGGCATGGGGTGTGTGGCGGTCGAGTGGCCTGCTCGACAGTTTGCAGTTTCCCTTTCCGTTGCCGGGTGTCTTTGTTGCCGGGGGTGGGGCGCCGTCTGTGTTGTTTCTTGCTCTTGTGCTGCTGGCCGCCACGGGCCTGTGCGAGGCGGCGGTGTGGGCGGAGTGGATGTGGCAGGACGCCGACGACGAGGCGGGTGGCAACGCCCTCGGCGAGTTGATGGTGGCGTTGGGGGTCACCGCGGAGGACCTTGTGGCCTGCGTGAGGGTCCTTGTGCTGGACTGACAGCAACGGAAGGGAATAAAAGTGGAGTGGCTGTGTGTGCTGCTGCCGCCTCCCCCCTGCGCTTACGTCAGGTCGTTTTATTATTGTTATTATTATTTTGCTCTTTTTTTTTTGTTGATGCTTGCATTGACGCCATGCGGGTCTTGTTGTCTTCGTCACTGTGACACCCGCTTTCTCTTTTTCTTTTGCCCACTGCAGTGTGGGGGTGTCACAACAGCAAGCCGTGCTCAGCAGGTCGCAGGAGTGCAAGCCACTAAGCAAACAAGCAACAGCGCGAGAGTGTACAGAAGGGCGCATACACGTGTGCGGCGGAGCAGGAGAAGTCATGTTCCACAACAGCTATCAGTCCGGTTTTCTCTCCATCTTGTACAGCATCGGCTCCCGGCCGCTGCAGATTTGGGACACGAAGGTGCGCAACGGCCACGTGAAGCGCATCACCGACGAGGACATCCAGTCCTCCGTGCTTGAGGTGGTCGGCAGCAATGTGAGCACCTGCTACATCACCTGCCCCGCCGACCCAAAGAAGACGCTCGGGATAAAACTGCCCTTTCTCGTCATGATCATCAAGAACCTGAAGCGGTACTTCTCGTTTGAGGTGACCATCTTGGACGACAAGGGCATCCGCCGCCGCTTTCGTGCCTCCAACTATCAGAGCACGACGCGGGTGAAGTCGTTCACCTGTACGATGCCGATGCGCCTGGACGAGGGGTGGAATCAGATCCAGTTCAACTTAGCGGACTTCACACGACGTGCGTACGGGACAAATTACCTGGAAACCCTGCGGGTGCAGCTGCATGCAAACTGCCGCGTCCGCCGGCTGTACTTCAGTGACCGCCTTTACTCGGAGGAGGAGCTGCCACCAGAGTTCAAACTATTTCTTCCCATTTCCCAGCAGCGGCCGCAACAACAACAACAACAGGCGCCACAGATGCAACAACAACAACAACAACAGGCGCCACAGATGCAACAACAACAACAACAACAGGCGCCACAGATGCAGCAGCAACAACAACAACAGGCGCTACAGATGC